AGAAGAAGCTTTCTCCTGCCAAAAGAATTAAGTCCAAGTTTTTCAGTGTCTATCTGTGCTGTAATGACTTCTAACCTTTAATATGTTAGCTGACACATGCAGTTTGAGAGCTGCTGTTGTGTTTTTTGGGGTTTCCCACTTGTGAGTAACCTTTCTCTCTATAGAATGATCCTATAAAAAAGTCAGTCTTGACACTGCTGATGGACTCAGTGTCTGTTTGATATGGTGTAATATGTCATATGATTTTGCTCACACGGGACTGTGTTGACCTGATTTTGAAATGTGGTTATGGGGTTCTTGAATGTTTTGTTACGAAGCCATAGCATATGGTCTATCTGTATATATATATATATATATAATTTTACAATATATATATATATATATATATATATATATATATATGATTTTACAATATATATATATTTTTTTTATTCCCCTCTTTCATTGAGTCATTGTACTCAGTAGGATGGTGAGCCCCAGATTTGACTTTAGGTCAGTAAAGCTGGTCATATCAAGTGTGGAAACACACTTAAATAACCAAGCCTTGACAGCAACAAAAAAATCCCAGTTTCCTCAGCAGTAATGAATGACCGTGAATGAGATGGATGGTCTTCCATGGCACTGGTCTGCTGCTGTTGAGCAGGAGCCATCATGTCGGGATGGCATCCTGGCATAACACTCTTCCATTGCTCCTTTACAATAATGTGATAAACAACCTCTCGAAATGAGGTAAATGTGTCCTCTCCCGGTCCCTGCACCAGTGGCACAAAGGCGGCTGCCTCGGAAAACCAAAACTAACGTCTCTTCCCAAGGTTTGGTTAGAAATAACGAAGGCTGGCAGCAGTGAGGTGCCGTCTGTTGCGGTAGTTGTTTGTAAGTCCTTCTTTCATGCCTCTGGTTTCTTTAAACACATAAAAATCGAAGAGGCAGCTTCGCGCAGCTTATAAACGGGTTGAATGAGCGTCTGACAGTGACGCAGCAGTCTTTGCTCGCCAGTTTAAACGCCCTCGGCTCAGGTTACTTCCGAACACCGTGACAGGCGGAGGGCGAAATAAACTGTCGATACTCTGGTCAGGAAGACACTATTATCCTGCTTTAAAAACTAAAATTCTGCAGGTCTCTATAAAACGAAAGTAAGAAAACACGTTAACACCAAGTAAAGACTGCTTGAATGCATTCTCCAATAACTAAAAAGTCATATGTCCGCATATTTACCAACAACCGAAACGTGTTCAATCGTAAAATTCTGAAGCTGAACATGAATAAAAGTTGCAAGGAGGTTGCTCTGAATGGCTTCTCTGCTGGTCTGTCATCTCTGGCCACTGCAATGGCAACTCTTCATATGGTGCTAAGACGATTAACTGAATTCTCAGTGGTTTATTATATGTGACAAGAGTTAAATCCCCTTTCCCTATTCAGACATTTATTGCAGTGTTTTTCAACGTTTTTTTTAACCAAGGTACACTTTTATTCCTGGAAAAAGTCATGAGGCACACAACCAAGCAAAAATGTTAAACAATGACTAACAACATAATTATTCTTATCAAAGTGTCTTCAATAGGAATTAAATAAACACAAAAATGTATTTTGATCATATTTTATATTTCATCTTTCAAATTGCACTTAACATAT